GGAAAACAACAGATATCTCATCGCGAAAGTGAGAGAGAGAGAGGGGGGGGGGAGGGAGAAAGAGGGAGAGGGAGGAGAGAGGGAGAGAGAGACGCCTTAGGATTAACCATATTCAACACATGTTTTTTGTTGTTTTGTGTGAACACCGAGGCCATCGCCGGCGAGGGTGAGAAGGAGGATCGGCAACACAAATATGATGCCTCGCAAAAATAAAGAAGATGGACCTATTGTAGTCTTGAATGATGGTTGTTGAGTTAAGAGTGTGTGTTATGTTTTCTCTCCCGTTGCAACGCACGGGCTCTTTTGCTAGTTAAAAAAAAGACAAAACTAGGCCATCCCAATAGTTATACCGAGTGCAAAAAAGTTCAGGCGAGGAGCTCCTATACAGCGCTGCAGGCGCCCGTTAACGATCCGGCGCCTGCAGTGCTGCTAGCATGGGCTGGCCCACTAGTCTGCTGCCCTATTTTTTTAGTTTTTTTAGCGAAAAAAATATGAAATGAAGAAAGGTTTACAGATTTAAAGAAAAAAAGTTGATCCATTTGAAAAAATATGTTCATATCATTAAAAAAGGTTCATAAAATTTGAAAAGTTCATCAATTTGAAAAAAAGTTCATTCAAATTGAAAAAAGTTCATCCAATTTTGCAAAAGGTCATTAAATTTGAAAAAAGTTCATAGAAATTGAAAAAAAGTTCATGTATTTTTAGAAAAAGTTCATGGAACTGAAAAAAAGTTCGTAAGTAAAAAAAAGTTCATCCATTTTCAAGACAAAGTTTTGATTAAATTTAGAAAAAGTTCATCAATATTCAAAAAAGTTCATCCATCTCAAAAAAGTTCACAGATTTTTTTTTAAAAAAATGGTCAACCGGCGCCTAGATGGACCGGCCCATTTACGGACGCAACAGGCGCAAGTTAGCAAAATGCACGTTAACTGGCGCCTATGGCGCCAAATAGGAAATGCCAGGGACACTCGCTAAAAGTGAAGTAGGCTAAGCAGAGAAGAGGGAAAATCGTCCATATAGGTTAACAATCATCCTCCCCGCCATCCAAGGAAATTTGTGATTATTGGCAATACATATATGTTCTATAAAAATAGTACACTTGAACAAAATCTATATATACACTTTTTAGAAAATGGAGGCAAAAAATCTATCTCATATATCTACTATCACTGTAAAAGAAAGAGAGGGCGAAGAACCAGATCATCGTATCCATCGAAACCTGTAATCTGATTTACGCTTTAATTACCCACCATGTCATTACTTTAATTAATTACCCATCATCTACTACCACTATAATCTTCGTTAACAAAATAGTCTTCGTTAATGAAATGCTAATCCCCCGCTTCCTCTCACCCCGCACGTCAACAACCGCTCTGCCGTTCGGAAAAAAGCAAACAACACACGCCCCCATGTCCTCTCGCCCCGCCTGCATGACCTCGACCTTTCGCCCACTCCTCCTCCTCCCGCGTTGTTCCTCCCGCAGCCGGAGCCACCCGCCACACCCTTCGCTGCCGGATCCGCCCTTCGCCGTGAGAGACGCCGCCGAGCCCGTCCGTCGCGCCCGAGCCGCCGCCGGAGCCGTCCTTCACCGCAGGAGCCACCGCCGCCGAGCCCGTCCATCGCGCCCGAGCCGTCGCCGAGCCCGTCCATTGCGCCGGAGCCGCCCTACGCCGCGGGAGCCCCTTCGCCGGGAGTCCGAGGACGAGGATGACAACGTCGACTACGAGGAGCATCGGGAGGCCAGGCGGCGCCTGATCCGCACTGTGCCGATCGTTGACTGGTTCGATGTCAAGAGCAACGAGGTATCCGCCACTCTGCTCCCCGTGTACCTGTTTCCCCTCCTGCGTCCTTTATTTCGTATGCGGCGAGGTGTTTGACGCGTGTTGTTCATGCCGCGCGCGTGGAATGCCGTGAGAGCGGTGACCGTCGACTGCTACTGATTTTGATTAGCTTCAGCGTTTGTCATTGGGTTGGAGAATTGCGAGGACTCTAGTTTTCTGCTGTGCGTTTCGGTGAAGCTCTTGAAGAAGATCGAGGTTCAGGTTTGATCAGAATTTGTTCTTTTTTTCATTTTTCAGGTCAAGACGACGTCTCCGAGGAAGTACTTCGTCCGGCCGAACGCGAGCATCATCCACCCGTGGGATTCTTGCACGATAACAAGTAAGCATGCATACATGCATACATACTCCAGGATTCTTCATTTGGTTCTGATGTGCGCGCATCTGCCTTCTTGTTTTGGGTTATAGTTACCCTACAGTTACAGAAAGAGTACCCCACAAATATGCAATCAAAGAATAAATTCTTGATTCAGAGCACCAGGGTGGCTGCCAGCACCGACATGGATGAAAACCCCCCTGACACTGTGAGCATAAAACTCATAATCACTGGTTTCTATGATATGATTTAGCCTTGCATTGTCATCTGGATAAAATGATTGGCATTCCTCCAACTATATTCCACCTTTATATGTATTCCTCAGTTCAATAAGGAGGCTGATAAGGTGATTGAGGAAATGAAGCTCAAGGTTGTCTACACATTGCCCAGTGGAAGCTCAGACGACTCTGGTGTCACATGTTCAGCAAATAGGAGCTTCAAGCAGGGCGACGACGATCTCTCGGTGAGATTTGCTAGCTCTATCATCTACGTAGGAAACATATGTTGGATCTGCTAATAAAAATTTATTACAAAGGCTAACTGTATTTCACATGTTTATGCTTTACCTTGTAGATGCTGAAGAATGCAAGCATTGAAGAGGTAACGCGCTCTTTCCAAACAGAAATTTCACATGTTTATTTAGAAATCTGACCAAAAAACTGCTAGCAAAGACATTTCCCCTGTTGAGTTCTGAGAAACAATTATTCTACCATTTTGACTTGACAGGCTTGAAGCCTCTACCGAACTTTGTAATGTTGCGTTGTGCATTTCCAAAAAATACACATTACATTCATCTTAAGATCTTTTTAATACTTTGCAGTACGCTTTTTGCACTGAGGTAGTTGCTATAGTCTTGCAAATACTATTTCTCTCTTAGATTCTTAAATGCAGAAGCAAATACACGCTACCTTTTCTTATATAAAATTGTGAAAAGAGCAAATATGGGAAATAGGACAATGTTCAAGCACCATCAAATCAGTGTTGAAATCAGCTTAAAGTTGATCGAGCATGAGAAAAGGTAGCTATACTTCTAGGCCGGTGTCATAATTGAGGTAGGAAGGGATGCCCAGAAGTCCACGAGCATGTTGCCCTATGTACATACTTAATTGTGCAATGGGACTAGAATTTGAAATTTTTTACCCACTTTTGTTCGTCTGGAAAGGATGCCTAGAAGCCTACAATTCACTCTCCTGCAATTCAAGCCTTGGGATTGATCCAACAGTGTCGGAGTAATGGGCCACGGGTAGGCTCACCCGAGTCCCTGGATTTATCAAGACTTTGGGCCAACTCCGCCTGGCTGGACCCCGAGCTGAGGCTCCGCCCTTTGGGGCCGGCTGGCTTAGCGGCCGGCTGCCAGAGGGCGGCCGACCCAAGTCTACGGCGCTCCGAATGACCGGCTCCTGGCGGCCGCCTTGTAGAGAGGGCGGCAACGGGCAGGCGGCCACCTCACGACTACGGTGCGGCCGAGCCCTCATCGAGAGTACAAGTCAAAGCATGGCTACAGTGAAGCACGTCGCCTCCCACGCTCAAGACGGGCGTGGCAACAGTGCTCCGTATAGATGGAGATCTCCGCACGACGGAGCACTGTGCCGAATCAACCCTGACATCGCTTCGGGCAGGCGGAGCCCTGTTCCCCACGACGGCCTGTCGGTACGGTCTGCCAGAGGCGGGCCCTATCGGGCAGTGACCCTAAGGAAGACGGCGGAAGCTCGACCAGGAGGATTTCGAGAGGGGTCGGCCTCCAGCAGGTGGTCGTCCCTTGTCCCGAGGCGAGCACACCATTAAGATGATAAGACCAGGTGTGGCTACAGTGGCCTCCCGCCAGGCGGCGGGACTGTAGCCACGCTAAGATGACCAAGCCCCCGTCACCAACGACACGGCTACAGTAAGCAGCCACCAACCAGTCAGCGGGGCCCACCAGGCGGCGGGCACCAGCGGTCGGCGGAGAAGCCGGAGGCTGGGCCCAGCAGTCGGCCAGATTACCATTGTACCCCTGGGGGGTAGGCCTATATAAACCCCCCAGGCCACCCATGCAAAGGGTTCCCACTCCATTAGAACTAGCCACTCCCCTAGAGCAGGAAGAGAGCTAGCCTTGCCTCCTTCTGCCTCTAGCACACAGCTCAAGGAGCACCATTGTATCACTTGTGCCTTGGTGATCATGCGGAGACCCCGCAGAGCAGGACTAGGGGTGTTATCTCCTAGGAGAGCCCCGAACCTGGGTAAAGTACGCTGGCGTTCGTGTTCACGCCTTATCTCGCTTCCAGGCACCGGCGACGTTCTACTCGCTCCCACCATGATAAGCCATCCATTGGCATATGTCGCACCCAACCCCCGACATTTGGCGCCCACCGTGGGGCGAGGTGCATCGTCTCCCGAAGATCTGCTCTGGACAGGAACCCTGTTCCTTCCTGGCGAGCGAAGCCAGCCCAGCACGCCCGACGGCGCCAGCCTCGACGCGCTGCGCGGCGCAGAGATCGCCTGCGCGGCGAGCTGCCTCGCTGACCTCGTCGGCGAGATCAACCTCTCCGACAAGTCGGCCTCCGACGCGGGCACAAGCTGCCCTGAGAGCCGCCTCATCAGGCTCCTCGACCAGCTCCATGTCACTAGCGAGCCTGCTGTGGACCTGGAGTCCATCGGCTCGACCGATCCGATGATCGTCGACTCCGACACGGCGTTGCTCGACGCGTTCCCCACCAACGTGGTGGTCTACGACGAGCCGCCTCCTCGCGAGTATAATGGCGGGAGCACCGTCACGGAGGTACTCGTCATCAACAGTGAGGAGCACTCGGACAGGCGTGCTCAAGATCCCATCGACGCCACTCTGTGCGACCTCATGGCACCCATTCCCGAGGGCGCGGACGCTGAGGCGCTGGAGGCACGCCGCCTCCAGCTTGTCGAAAATTCTGGCCGCCTGGCCAGCACGCGCTGGCTTTCGGACGCCTATCGGCGCGAGATGGACCGGGCCGTAGGCGGCACGCCGGCTCCTGGGGGGCCTAGCCTCCTGGGCACAGTTCAGCAGCGTGGCGCGACCATCACCAGCATGTTCGGGGCAGAGTGCCCCGTCTACGCCACGCCTGCAGAGAACATCCGGGCCGCCCAGGCGGTAACGGATGAGATGAACAAGTACAACGGCGACGCGCTCCGCCACATGACGGAGTTAGTCCAACAGCTCCTGGACGCGGCTGTCGCGCAGCACGAGGCCGCCTGCCGCGTTGAAGTCCCAGTCGGACGAAACGACGAGCCGCCCCCACGCCGAGATCATGGGGCAACCTCCCGGACGCCGACTGGTGGCGCCCGCGGAGGAAAGGGCAATGAGCCGGCTGCTAGCTGCAGTCGGACGCGCCTCTCCATCGAGCGGGACGAGGACGGCCGCCCTCGCGCAGTAGAGCGGCGAGGCAACCTGCCGCCTCCCTTGCCTCGTGGAGCGAGGTACCCCACTCCGCCTCCTGTCACGCATCCGACACTCGGCGACCGCCTTGGCCGCCGAGAGGGAGTCGGAGAGAATGATGCTCGCCATCGGATCGATCGTCTCAACCGATCCCTGGCACTTGAAGAAGAAGATGCGCTGGGCCCACCCTGTTTCGGCCCCCGAATCTGAGATGAGCCTTTCCCCAAGGGGTTCACCCTCCCGCGAGACTCGCCCAAGTACACCGGCTCCGTGAAGCCGGAGGACTGGCTGGTCGACTACTCCACGGCTGTCAGCATAGCAAACGGCAACAAGCGCGTCGCCGTGAAATACGTCCCGCTCATGCTTCAAGGCACTGCCCGGACGTGGCTCAACAGCTTGAAGCCCCGCAGCATCAACAGCTGGGTTGATTTCACTGAGGTCTTCATCCGCAACTTCACCAGCACCTACAAGCGGGCTCCCAAGCCCCGACAACTCTCCTTGTGCGTCCAAGGGCCCACAGAGTCGACTCGCGACTACCTCACGCGCTGGACCGAGCTGCGCAATTCCTGCGAAGGCGTGCACGAGGTGCAGGCGATCGAGTACTTCACTGCCGGGTGCCGAGATGGCACCCTCCTCAAGCATCGACTCCTTTGCGACGAGCCCGAGACCCTTGATGAGCTGCCGGTCATCGCCGACAAGCATGCCACGGCCGACTCCTCCATGAAGGCGGAAATACTGGTAGATGCGTCCGGCAAGGTGGCACCTCAAGCCCCTCAGACTCCGGTTGGTGACACCAGTCGGCGACAGCAACCAGGTGATAACAAGCGGAAGGCCACCCAGCCGGCTTCTACCAGCCGGCAGGTGGCAACGGTCGAGGATCAGCAGCCAGAAGGGCAACCGGCCCCCAAGCGGCAGAAGGGCGGCAAGTCCAATTGGTTGCCCGCCTTCTCTTATAAACAAACCTTGGATGCACCCTGCAAGTTCCATAGTGGTGCGAAGCCGTCCAACCACACCACCCGAAAGTGTCACGGGCTCACCAGAATCGCCAAGGGAGATGGACTCCTGCCTCCTCCGCCTGCCGGACCGCCGCCTCCTCAGTCCCAGCAGCCGGCAGCCCGGCCAGTCGACGCCATACAAGACGAGTACCCGGAGGAACATGGAGCCTATGTTGTGTTTACTAGCATGGCCGACGACAGACGCAGCAGACGGCAACAACAACAAGAAGTGCAAGCAGTGGCCTCCAACACTCCAGAGTTCATGCACTGGTCCGAGAAGCCTATCAGTTGGAGCAGGGCCGACCACCCGGAAGTGATGCCTTCCCTTGGTTCATATGCCCTGGTCCTAGAAGCAACCCTTGCAATGGAGAGGCGAGCAGCCCGTTTCTCTAGAGTCTTGATAGATGGCGGCAGCAGCATCAATATCCTGTACCGTGACACAATGGAGAAGTTGGGAATCAAGCAGAAGCAGTTCGTCCCCAGTCGGACTGTATTCCATGGCATATTCCCTGGCCATTCCTGCTCACCAATCGGCAAGACCCAGATTGATGTCCTCTTCGGAGACAAGAATCACTTCCGCCGAGAGCTAGTTTGGTTTCAAGTGGTGGACCTTGAGAGCCCCTACCATGCACTGCTGGGCCGGCCTGCTCTGGCCAAATTCATGGCGGTCCCCCACTACGCCTACCTTAAGATGAAGTTGCCGAGTACCAAGGGGATCCTGACAGTAGTCAAAGACTACAAGAAGTCGATCACTTGCGCCGCAGATAGCAGCCGGCTGGCCGAGTCCCTCGTGATTGCAGCCGAGAAACGGCTCCTTGACCGGGTGGTGGCATTGGCAGGCAAGAAGCCAGAAATTTCACCCACCCCCCAGGAGTCGAAGGTTGAGGGCTCATTCAAGCCGGCCAAGGAAACAAAGAAAATACCCTTGGACCCGGAGCACCCGGAGAGGCACGCTGTCGTAGGCACATGCCTTGACATCAAATAGGAAAGCGAGCTCCTCGATTTCCTCTGTGAGAATCGGGACATCTTTGCATGGTCTCCCAAAGACATGCCGGGTGTTCCAACGGATTTCGCCGAGCACAAGCTACATGTCCGACCTGGCGTCAAGCCAGTCTGGCAGCCCTTGCGCCGCCTGTCGGAAGAGAAGAGAAGATTTGTCGGAGAAGAGATAGCCCGGCTTCTTCCAGCCGGATTCATCATGGAAGTGTTCTTTCCAG